GATCCCAAATCGGTCAAGAGATGGAGCTATGACCTAAAAGTTTGTACTTGAAAAAAAAAACAACCTCGGTGCCATTTTATGGGTCGCTGTGCCGCGGCTAAAATATTGTAATCCAACACAGGCTTAAACTCACATCTCAATTCTACTTGTGGATAACTCCGATGGATTATTTTTCAGCTGATTTCTAATCTATATCGCCCGATTTCCGATATATGGTAAAACAAATATATATATTTTTTTATTTCGCCAATTTCCATGTGGATTATGTTGAAAGGATTCTCTTACTTAGAATAATCATAAATAACTCGAATTATAATATTTATTGGAAAAACATTTTTTTATTAGGAATTCCTTATTCTATCTTTTTATGGAAAAATTAATATTTACCGGTTAACACATGTGCTTGTTGAACCAGTATTTTCATCAAGTTTTTCTTAAAAGACAATTGTATAAAATTTGCAAAATCAAAATGTAATCCTGTGAACTTTTTTTTTTGTTGTTATTTGTGTGTGTGTGAAAAAAATCACTTTGAAAATTTCCATAATTACTATGAAGAAATAAATCTAAAATAAAGTAAGTTTGTGATTATGTTGGTGTTCAACAGTGAATTTGATATTGGGATGTTCGTTGTTGAAGTAGTTTAAAAGAAACAACTCTCAACTTGTTCAACCTCTGTGAAGGTGATGAAAGCACCATCCACATATTTTGTATAATTTAATGGCTTTAAATATACAGGACAGTCTTCTAGTCACTATTTCTCATGGTGGTAAAAACTCATTTACAAGTGATGGGTTAATCTTGACCCCATAACAACCCCATCCTTTTGGTCATATATTTCATTAATAAATATAAAATGAGATTCCTTAGCGACGTAATTAATGAGGTCTTGACATACAAGCTTATGGAATATTAGTTGATTGTTATCATTATAGTACCACAGTTCTGTGGATAATTTATAGTCTCTTCTAGTGGGATGTTTAAAACATACAGACTCTATATCAAAGCTAGCAAAGTGCACTCTTTCTTAAAAGTCAAATTTCTTTATTCTTGTGAAAACTCAAAACTGTTTTGTGGTATATTCGTTTTTTTATTAAAGGTTTCAACAACGTAACTAAGAATGTAGATAACTCAGCGTTGTATGTGCCTATACCTGGCACTATTGGTCTCATAGGACATCGATCTTCACGACATTGTATGTGCCTATACCTGGCACTATTGGTCTCATAGAACATCGATCTTCACGACGTTGTATGTGCCTATACCTGGCACTATTGGTCTCATAGA